ACTTGGTTTCAGTGAATTTACATGATATAATTTGTAGTAAAAAAGTAAAGCTGTGTAATTATTCAGATGAAAATGAGTGACTTTTATTAAAAAAGACATATTCATTGTAGGTTTGTTTTTATGTTTTGCTTATGATCTCCCTTAAAATTCCGGTCCTAATTAATATTCATGATTAAATGAATAAATTAGGCCATCTCCATATAAAGACCACCTGTCTATAAAGGACAGTTTGGCTCAGTCCACTGACTGTCCTTTATAGACAGGTTTGACTGTAATACAGTAGTCACACAATGAGGCAGTTCATATTTGTCTCAGTGAATCATTAATTTTTGACAGACACCTGTACAAAATACTTGGACTAAAGCCAGCTAAAATTTTCTGTTATCTTGCATGTTTTATGAATCTATTCACATCTAAATGCAGCACTTTTTTTTTGCAATGAGACATTTGTTTTTATACTAAAATATCTGAATTACTTTGAATAAAGCTGGAAATTATGTTCCTTAAAATAATTAAACAAATAAGGCACCAATGTTTTTGTAAGATATTTACATCTTTTAAGGACATTCGGTAGACTGATTCCCCACTGTTGGTTCAACCCCAAAATTTGTTTGTATTCAAAATTAATTATGACAATGCATATTTATATTGAAACAAACTATGATAAAGGGAATTATATTATATAACAAAGGGCAAGGTCACCAGAGTTCAACTATGTTTCATCTAGAAATGTATATTGTCTTTGAAAGTTTGTAATGGAATATTATGTAAAGCTTAATAACTTTCTGAAAATCTCGCAAGCCATTTTTTACGACATATATTGTATATTTACTTCTAGATTGACCTAAAAAAGATGCCTCTGGGTAAACTCTCCAAACGTCAGATTGAGAGCGCATATTCAGTATTGTCTGAATTACAAAAGGTACGTTTTCTCTCTTGTATCATTTTATTCATTGCACTGTGATTTCAAAACTGTCATTTATCTCTATAGCGACAGTATAATTGGGGTAGATCGGATTGTTTAAGAGAAAAATATTGTTTCACTTCCTGACAACAATATACATACATACATTAAGAGAAATGATCTCTTATTAGTCCCTATCCAAAAACAGAGACTTGACAGGGAATTGACCTCTATGCGTGCATGCGTCCATGCATCCATACCTATATTTTAGACATGTCTAACTAGACTGAATGTCACATTTTAAAGTTAAAAAATCGTAATTAAACATCAACTTCTGGATTCATATTTCTGACATGTTCATGTTTCAACTGTATTACTACAAACAAAACTATATATCTTATATTTGATAACAAACAGGAACTGTGTCATGCATGGGTTGTTGTAAAAGTGTTGGGAGGGTATTTTAGTCAGATCTCTTGTTTAACATCATCATAATAACACAGGTTTCATCTTCCTAAATGCAACAGTGCTTGAGATGTAACTGTTGTGCGTATTAATTAGGTTAGCAACCCCACCCCGATGGCCCATCCATGTTTGAGGCATGTAATTGCACAATTTCTGCTTTCATAAAATCCAAGATGGTGGCAAAAATCACATGACAGCAGTGATACGTGGGAATTGCAAGATGCCTAGCATGTTGAAAACTTGTACACATGATTAAATCCAAGATGGTGGACAAATTAATTGACCAAGCAGAATGCTGGAAACAAATTTCAATAGCTCAGACAATAACTTACACCAAGTTTCATAACTGTAACTGCAATTCTTATAATATAAGGTCCTCAGCTAATTTGAACTAAAATCCACCGAGCTATGCAAAATCACAAACTAAGTAGCTGGTCGCCATTTTGATTCATTTGCACCAGTTCATATAAAGTTTCAGGTTTCAATTTTCAGCCATTTTGATTCATTTGCACCAGTTCATATAAAATTTCAGGTTTCAATTTTCAGCCATTTTGATTCTTTTGCACCAGTTCATATAAAGTTTCAGGTTTCAATTTTCAGCCATTTTGATTCTTTTGCACCAGTTCATATAAAGTTTCAGGTTTCAATTTTCAGCCATTTGTCAAACAGCTTTACCAAAAATTAGTTACTAAAGAAAGGGAAAAAAAAAAATGGACAATATAATCGGGTCCTCAACCTTATTGGCTTGAGCCCCTAATAATGACACAGGGAATTGTATGATAAAAATGAGAGGAAAAAAAGTCAATAGTTACAGCTATTGTCGCTTCAACAGTTTAAGTTTATTATTAAGGCCACAATCTTTTTATTATTTCATTCATTCAAAAAGTACTTTTTCTGCCAAAATTGTTTACCAGTGACTTTCACTACAGCAGCACTGACATCATGAAGTCTCTAGTGTTCTTTTCATTTCCAATGTTGCAGTTCAGTTACCAGGATTATTCTCCTATACTTTAACTTGACCACTCAAAATCTAATTTCTGTTTTTCTTCTAATAATTCCACCTCTCCCCAAAATATTTTTAGCTCCGCTGTCGACTTTGTCCGTAGTCTGTGTCAATGTTTTACTTTTTCGACTTCTTCTTGAAAACTACATGCCTGAATGCTTTAATACTTGGTGTATATGTACCTTGGGTGGACCTCTCTTAGGTTTGTTCATTTCATGATTATATTTTCAATTCTCTAATTTTGGTGAATATTTTTGTCATTTTTGGTAAAAAGTGATATTTTCGACTTCTTGTTAAAAACCACAAGTCCAATTGCTTTGATACTATACATATTGTTCATTTTCTAATGATATCTTCTGTTCTTTAATTGTAATGTGCATTGCTAACAGCGGAGCTATCTCAGCCGACTGGCTGCTTGTTTTCTAGAGTAGAATTATAAGAAGATATCATGCTAATCATAGTACAGTCAACAGCTCTGATACATGATACAGAAAACCAGCATATTTTGCTGTCAGGAGTTTTAAAACCTGACTATTCTCCTGCAATTAATTCTGCAATGAATATGATAGTACTGATTGTAGTCAAATTTATAATACTTGTGTCTTGTGTCAGGATTTTCTTGAAAACCCAGTCGGGTCTTTTTAGTCTGAATACTTGTGATTGGATATAATCTTCTCTGAAACCACTGGCAGTGTAAATAAGCAATTGTTCAGCAAGTCTTTAAATATTTTGTTTCTTGTTACTTTCCCGTAGTTGTTGGATGAAGATAAAGCTACAGACTCGGCCATCTTAGATTGTTCAAATAGATTTTATACTCTGATACCGCATGATTTTGGGATGAAGAAACCACCAATGTTGGATAATATTGACATCATCAAGGTAATTAAATGAATCATGGTTTTGTCTACATGTATGAATATATGTATGCTATTTTAGACCCATTTGTACTGTGCACTGTCATCCATATCCAAATCTGTGGTTATGCAGTGTCAGAACGAATCTGTGGTACTAAGTGAGGCTTGATTAAAAGTCACGTTACGTTGGAGGGAATCGGGCATGGAACTGCTTCTGCTTCTGGGGCTGCATCTTTGAACCGCTGTATCTGGAACTGAGAGATAGAATCAGCATTAACATTCAATCTGCCTGGGATATGTTCAGCATGAAACATGAAGTTGCAAGACGCAGCAGTGATGACCAAGCGACGCATTAATTCCATGATGATTGAAGATTTGGATCAACCTTTGTTGTTGATCTGGACAGTTGCCATGTTGTCATAGTTGAAGATGATACGTTTACGATGCCAAAGGTTTCCCCATAACCAGTGATGCAACAACAATTGGATACAGCTCTTGGAACGCGATGGACAGTGTTGGGTCTGCGTCAAGCGTGAGACTGGCAGGCAGGCAGGCATTCTGCGCAATTTGTCCTGAGGTATACTTGCTTCCATCTTGATGGTGTCAATCTCTATGCCAAGATACTCAAGGCTGGTAGTTTGACCAACTGTCTTATGTGGTGCAGGTATTCCTAGACGTCGGAAAATCATTGTAATGGTAGCCATGGTTCGATCAGCATCAAAAGAGTGTACATCAACTGTCAAAAAACTATCTAGCAAATGGAAAATAATGTAAATACCACAATTGTTCTGTGCAATCCAGCAGATTGCCTCTGACAAGTGGTCCAAAATCTTGGGACTTGATCGAGATCCACATGCCAATCGACAAAGAAGTAGAACTAGAGCTGTCTCATGAAATACAGATGCCATAAGGATGGATGGATGGATGTTTGTCTGTCTGTTTTACACAACCATGCACCTTTTCCGACATTATGGATTGCTGCCACAGCAAAATACTTTCTTATCAATCAAGTCATTGATACTAGGTATTTCTGCATTATTACCTGGTGAAGACAGGTCAACAATCAGACGTTTCTTAGTGGAGTATTTTTTCTCTGCAACACTAATTGGACTACAGCGATAATTAGTGAACGGTGGTGTAGTAAAAAAACTAATTAAGTAACTGTTTTTTACCTCTGCTGCAATTTGTTCTGATACAATGGTTGGTTGGTTACGTACTGAGAGAAGGTTACGACAAATCAATGGAGATGTAGGAGGATCCCTGATCCCTGTATCGAAGCCCTCACGAAGACCAGTGATGAGATAATTAACAAAATGTTTATCTGGATGGCATGACAATTCTTTACTGAGTACATGTATGTCAATGTTAATTTGTGTTGATGGTTTGTCAATCGAGCTTGATTAGTACGGTCTTTTGGCAAACACTTTCCTTGGACTGACCGAAGGCATAATAAGTGACACAAACGTGGGCGAAATTGTAGTTGCTTCTACGACAGCCATTATTGGAATTGCAGTTAATGGAAATTATTGTATTGTGGTGAGACCAGTCTACTTTGCCATTGTGATTTAGCAGAATAGCGACTGCCTTTGCAGAGAAAGCATGGTGGTACTCGTAGAAGGCCAGTCCATTGAATCGTTTGGACATGTCCACGATGTCGCATTGGTATGCATCAAGTTCCTCACGGCGATAGGGTACACCTCACATACAACGTTTTTGTACACCTCAAATGCTAGGATGAACTCTTGGATCGTCAAAGCTCTTTTGTCCTTTAGTGGCCTGAGGGTTAGAGCTTTATCACCAATAACGATGTGACGTTAACCGTCAGAATAATTATAACCAGGGATAAGGAGACAAGCTAAATTGACTTCAAAGTATATCGCGACGAATCAAAGGAGAGACCAGCTTGATATGCGGAAATTGCTCAGATGAAATTCCACGTGAACGCAGTGGATCTGTGACCCCTGCAACGCTGGGTGGAAAACTTGGATTGATGTTGAATGAAGTTCAAAGGAGGCCACCATCTTGTCTTGCATCAATGTTGTTGTTGTTGTTGTTTGACATCTAGTTACAGAAATTCTTCAGTTTATATATAAACTAAACATTGAACCACACAGCCATGTAAATAAATATAAGTGACATGTTTAGATATTATCAAAGTATAGTATATATTTTAAAAAAATATGTCAATGTGCATTGCCATTTGAAAGATGGCCACACAGCCCTGTCATGTAGTCCCAAACATGAATATGACTTCTGTGGCAAAATGCATGTGTTGTTACTAGCACTTGCAATTTGCACATACAAAAAAAAAAAAAGTATAGCATATATTTTAAAATGATAATAGGCATGAAGATAAGCTGAAATAATTTCACCAGTGAATTTCATACAGGCAGTAATCTTTATTGCAGTTCACTTCAAATCACTAAATATCCACTGCGAAGTAACTCAGTTTTCCATATTTGATCTGTTTCTCGCACTGATTGACAGGTCTATTTTTAGTGCAATCTGGTACTTATGAAATAAATGTTAAAGCGGGGGAGTCGTCACCTGCGCATGCGTCAGATGGCCATAGCGTGTCATTGTTTACGAACAAGCGTCTACCCATGAGCTTTTGCGTTTTTTTTTACGCGTGTTATCGTCGCTTGGGTCTCAATTCCCACGTGTACACAGGTGACGACCCTCTCGCTTTAAGTTTAAATAATTACATGTGCATTGTGATATCTAGAAATACTTGAATTCATTTATGATTATCAGCAAATGGTCTTCTTATATTTATGACATATTTATTGATAATTTGATAGAACAAGACTCAGATGTTGGATAACCTGCTGGACATTGAGGTGGCATACAGCTTACTGAAAGGTGGTGACAGCGGTAAAGATCCTATTGATGCAAATTTTGAAAAACTCAAGTGTGGTATCGAGGTAAGACCCATGTATTCTTGTAAATTTATAAATTCGTGCTTATTTATTAATCAGTCAGTGTTATAGTTTTGTGGAAAAAAAAAAATTGATCTGTATATAAGGAAACTTGCTCGTTTGAATTTTGAGATCGCAATGTTATGATGATGTAATAATTATTTGTACGCTCCTCAGTTGTGTGACAATTTTGCTGTACGACCTCAGGCTGCTAAAGGCCAGGCTATACGAGGTACTCTAGAATACTTTATACTTCGCTATTTTCGCTGAAGGGATGATTCCGTGAAAATAAAATCCAGCGAATGTACCTTTTTTTCCCTATATTTCACAATTCAACTCATCAAGAATCAGTGAAAATAAATTCCATAAAGAACGCCCAAAAAGCATTTTCAGCGAAAATTAATTCCAGCGAAAATAAAGTATTCCACAGTATATAATAATGTTGCTGATGATAATGTTGTTTCGTGACAGGTACTGGAACACAAGAGTGACGAGTTCACAATGATTGAGAAGTATATGAAAAATACCCATGCTGCCACTCATACTCAGTACTCGTTAGAGTTATTGGATGTAAGTCTTACTTCCATTGTTATTGTTAGAAATTGTATCATTTTCTTTATGGACCACTCCCATTTAAAAAGTAGAATTATCACACAAATTAGATACCTTCAGGGATAAAATATGCCTCATTGTTTTCTATGTTGACGTTCTCGTATCTATGTTTACTGGTACTTTTCTTGTTTTGAAAGCAAGCTTCCCTTTTCCATGTTATGGTCATATTTCAGATGCAATACAACAAGACTAGTATTTAATGCAGTCATTCAACTTCATGTTTTTGGCATATTCACTGAAATTTTTAATTCAAAATTGTGTTTCTATTTTATTTGTGTCTGTTGATTTGTGTCTAAATTTTGAATATAGGTTTACCTATAACTATACAATAAGAACTCAAAGTTAAAACGGAAGGGTCGTCACCATGTGCAGGAATTGAGTCCCAAGTGACGATAACAACACACACTAAAAACACAAAGGCTCATAGGTAGACATTTGTATGTAAACAATGACACGCTATGGCCATCTGACGCATATGCAGGTGGTGACTCCCTCGCTTTAAACCTAACTTATCCTATCTAAGTATATATTGTAATTTGACTTCTCAGGTATACCAGTTAGACCGTGCTGGGGAATGTTCCAAATATAAGCCGTTCAAACAGTTACACAATCGTCAGTTATTATGGCACGGTTCAAGAACTTCTAACTATGCTGGTATACTTTCTCAAGGTTTGCGTATAGCGCCACCAGAGGCGCCTGTGGTAAGTTCTATTGTTTACATTTACTTTCCATGCACATTATTTTTTGAAATTTATACTTACCCCCGGTATTTAGTTCTTTATTCGTATTTAAAACGTAGATTGGTGCTCACAAAAAAATAGTGTTTCTGGTCAAACTGTGTTTAAAAAATGGGATGTAGAGGAATTTTTTTTTCTAAAAATGTTGACAGCATCCACTCCCACAAAAAGCAACAACTTTTTGTTGAGATTCAAAGGAACTTGCATAACAATCTTCAAAGAAAATATTTACACGAAGATATTTGTATTCTTCTATATCCCATCTGAAATCACTTGGTAATTGACCAAGAATGTCTGAATTGTAATTACTCCATTTCCCATTGTCCCCCTCTCGCTACCTCCAAATGTTGATTGTGAAATAAGGCTGGTATTCTTTGTGTGTCGTGATTGACAATTCATTGAAACAATTTATTTTATTGCGACTATTGTTTTGTATTATTCTCTACAGACTGGTTACATGTTTGGTAAAGGTGTGTACTTTGCTGACATGAGCTCCAAGAGCGCCAATTACTGCCGAACCACACCTAGCAACAATATTGGCTTGATGTTGCTATGTGAAGTCGCATTGGGTAATATGTACGAGTTAACAAATGCAAAGTCACTGAGTAAACCACCAAGTGGAAAGCACAGCACTAAAGGTAAGCAATCATTCATCTTTTACCTTCATCCTGTTGCTGCTAACACATTAACTGCTGAAAGAAGAAAACGATATAATCTTTTGAATAGGTGTCATTTTTCGAACATTTCAATCTTTCCTGACGCATCATGCAGCAGGGCGTAAGCATGCAAAGTATTGACACATGTTCTGCTGATGCAACCCCCCCCCCCCCCCCATTGATTTATTGATTTTTTGTAGTCCACAAGCATAGTGCTGTGAAGTGTCTATAAATTCACATGTTTATTTGATTTTGACAGGTCTTGGTGCCACTGGTCCTGATCCCACCGCTGCTATCACTACAAAAGATGGCGTGACTGTGCCCCTGGGCAAAGGTGCTATAGATGGTTCTCTTAAAACTAGCCTTCTGTATAACGAGTATCCTTTTTGTGAGCTATACAATTCTAACTGAAGTGGATTTCAGTGTTATCGATTTGTAGAGATTCAATTGTCAACTTATAATGTCAGGTTAATTTTTATATTATGCTTACACACCTGGTTACTAAATGGTGCAGGATTCATACAGACATCAAATGCCAGTGAAAACCTTGATGCCAACAGTTGATTTTCCAATCAATGCAAGATCTTGTGTACTGCATGAGACACTGTTTGAATGTCTGTTGCGGAAATCAAATAGTTTGAATAACTTTTTTTCATATCAATCTTACAGATAGGAATATTGCATTGAGACAATCTTGCTTCATAAAAAATGACTATCATTAAATGTGTTTTTGTAGCACATTATGAAGTGTAGAAGTGTCCCCCAAAAATTTTGAATGTGACTGTGGTTTTTTCCGTTCGTTTCATGCAGTGAATGGAAAATGGTCTTTTTTAATTTATTTACTGTTCCCAAATCATAGTACTTGTTTTCGTTGCGATCTGTAGATCACATGACCAACTCTACTGACTTAATGTTTGCACATTCCATTCTAATTTGCTTCATCCCATTGTTACCTTATTCTGCTTTTATCAGGGACTGAACAGTCTAGCTTCTTAAGTTTGCAACAATCTGCCAGATATAATTCAAATTTCATTCTCTGATGATATAACAAAGGCTTAGGAAATTATAATAATGGTTCAGTCTACTGCCTATAATTAAAATTTCTGCAAATCGTGGTTTTTTAGCAGTGAATATTCCTTATATTCCCTCAAGATGCTTGAAGCGACACTGTCTTCACAACTGTGCATACATGTATGTATAGGGAGGGCGAAAACAATAAATCTCTACATATTGATAGCAGGTAGAGATCTGTTAAAGCAGGTTGTGCACTCACAGGCAAGAGAGTCATACATATTAAATGTTTTTTCAGATGATAAAGTACTATAGTTAGGTTGTGAGGAATGTTTAATTTTAACAGCGTGTATGTACGCTTTAGTAGAGAACAGAAGAACACACACAAACGCAGTTTTGAAGACGGTGCCGTTTCAAGCATCAAACGACAGAAATTGTTTTATGTGAAAAATAACTGTTTGCAGTACAGCAACACATATTTTACAGTTGGGAAGGTTTTCACTGCTTGTAAGTGATTGTATTATCCTTAACCTTAACCTCTTAGATACATTGTCTATGATGTGGCTCAAGTACAAATGAAATACCTGTGCAAAGCCAAGTTCAACTACAAGATTTACTAAGAAGAGTAACAAGCCCATATCATTTCTTTGTTTTATGATAGGGCCCGAGTTGAGTCAAAGCATTTATGCAAGGCGTTATTTGATTTGTTGAAAGGATCTGTCAACAAATTGTTAGGTTTATGCCGCAAATTAGTCACAATATTGTCAGTTATTTAGACTTGACTCGATGGTTGTGGCGATAACTCTTGGGGCTCTTCACAAGGAGTCTTAAAGATACAGGAGTTAGTACAACACTACACAACACAAGTCAGTCACCCACATGTGGTAAAATATATTTACATCTACTATCCGGGGTTCAAACTTGTATAGTCTATGAATATAGTTTGGTGGTGCATATGAATATAGTTTGGTGGTGCATTTATTTAATACAGCTCCTGCTAAAAACCACAGATATATTAAAGGAAAAAACAACATCTGCAGGATGTGTGTTAACACCACTATAGCTGCAAAATTCAAATTTTTGTTTTTATGTTAAAAAATATACTTCTTTGAATTATCATACATAAGAAGAATCTTTTTTAATAATATATATTTTTGCTGTAAACCAACTGTTACTCTATGTGGGTCCCATATTGAACATGACGTGGATCAACAACTGTTTCGCTTTAAGTCGGGAGTGCATAGTTCAGGGTTTATATTTAAAAAAAACAGTTGGAGCTTGTATGATCCTAGTTACACAATATGAAACAATCGGACAATGTGCTTAAAAATGAAAAAAAAATTCGTTTTGATGGTAAAAATATATACTGGTGCGTAAAATTATCCTTTCAAAAATAATGAATGCCCCCACAGTGCCATATGAGAAGCGTCTATGGTAAGATGATCTAGACCCTTCTCTAACTCCCATATGACATTTTGGGGATTTATTGTTATAAATAACCACCACCATCCTAATTAAACGAATTTAGTTAAATATTATACTACTCTGATAGTAACCATAGTAACCATTTACTGTTAATAACTTATGGAGAATTGCAAACCATTATATACAGGTGATTTTTTGCTCACTGTTAGATCTCTCGTATTGCGTGAAAAGGCGCAGATCGAACTACTGTCACACAAATCGAAGTGATTTGAACTTGAATTTCTTTTTTTATAGCTATGTCAAAAATCTTTGAGTGGGGAATATTGCATGGAGATACCCTTACATCATCAAATGTTTTTAGAACATTTATTAAAGCATGGGTAATCCTAAAATACTTGAATCTTGTGCAATGTTTTAACGTCACCGTGAACTTTGTTTGTTCTGTTTTAAGTCACGCTTAACACAGGATCATATAGTGAACGAAGTCAAGACTACTACTATGTGTAGTAGAATGCATTTTGTCCATGGTCAATGATTACAGTGGTAGAGAATCTGATTATAGTTAATTATGTAAACATTCAGTGAATTAAGCTTTACAGTGGTTTCAGAGAATATTTGTTTACGATTCTGAAAGGTACACATTTGTTTAAAAGTGTCAAGACATTTCTGAAAAAGCATTTTCACTTGTCTGTAAATTTAGTGAAGAATTCATTGGCAGATCATTGTATATGGAATATAATTTGATGAATAAATTACACTACCTTTTCAATATGGATATTTAAAGTTCTAAAGTGGATGAGAATGTATAGTCTAGAGCAGTATTATTGGATTCTGAGTACACATGATACCATTCCCAAATTGATGTGCAAACTATCAAACGCAAAGATTGGAAAAACTTCTGAATAGAGTTGATTGTAGTTGAATTGGGATCATAAAAAAATCTTAGAATGAACTCTTGTGTGCTGTGAGAATTGAAAGCACCTGAAGTAAAAAACAAGGAATATTTAACAAGCCTAGAAAATAATAAGACTGGTATTTGAGATGCACAATGTGATTCATAGTATGAAGTTCATAATGCATACAGAAAATACAAGTTATTGTTAATGACACAGTCCCCGTCCAAAATTTTGTGATCTGACATATCAATTTGATGCTGATGAAGTCACTGAGATTAGATTGAAATCATTAAATAGGAGATGGATTTGTAAAATATTATGATTTAGTGCTTTTACACGAGAATTGGGCAGTCATATTGCATCAAATTACAAAAATAATGTACATGTTGATGTATCTATTTGTATACTGTACAAAATTTAAAGAGAAATGTTCATTGCATTCATGGGAAAGTAGGCATGGGTATCATGGAAAACAAAATGGCCACCAGTCGGCCACATTAGTTTGAATCACAGAAAAAATGACATACCAAAATATAACCCAATATGTACATGTATGATCATCATACCAACTTTGATCCAAATTGGCCTAGTCATCTCTGTGAAACGGACACGTGAAAATGACGATTTATAGTGCTTTTATATAAAAATTGGGCATCAGCCAGCCATATTGGATCACAAAAATAATGTTGGTACAAATGTATCCCTTGGTATACTATCTTTAGCTCCGCTGTCGACTTTGTCGAGCGGAGCTTATCATATGAGTGATTGTCCGTCGTCCGGTGTCCGTGTCATGTTTACTT